TAACTTTGACAACCTGTTACCATTCAAATGTCAATTGTTGCGTTTTCTCTTTTTACCCGTCTTTGCTGCACGGTGGTAAGAGATTATTACTCATCTCACTGTTCTATGAGTTCTATGACTTCTATCCATCTGAGGTTGAATAAATTTACGACTTCTTCACTGCCCATTTAGTCAACCAAATCAAACACATTACTCCTCACTTTTTCTCAATTGTCTCCAAATTTCCTCTGAAACAGGAACGGTTTCATGAAGTACATTACTTCTCTTAGATTTATTTTATCCGTGATCTTAATAGACCAATTAAAAATTAATAAGCGCAATATTAGATTAGAAATCATACGGAGTATTATGTAAGATTACCAGAAAGTAGATAATAGGAGAGCACCGTGTTCATTTAATTATAGGGAAACTATCAAATATGCCTCCGTATTATATTGAAAATGACGATTAGGCCCTCGTACTCTATAAACACCCAATTGAGCTCCCGAATTCTTAAAAATCGATCATTTTAGCATTTTAGCAGGTAAACTTCAAGTTCCCGGTTAAATAGCCCACGTGGTAGCCTACGTGGATTTCTTTTTCTTTTCTCTTTTTTTTTTCTCCTTTCTTTTTCTCTTTCTCTTTTCCTCTTTCTTTCTTCTCTTCTGCGCAGGCCCTCTGCAAACCTCTTCCTAGCAGGTAGCAACATTGCCGGCCACCCCCCTTGTGCCGCTGGCATCTGAACTCACTGCCCCGCTCCACTGCCCAACCAGTGACCACCAACCCTGCACCACTCCAATTAGTCTACCTGCGCACCATCGTAGGCGGAATCCCGTAGCCGACGGATTTCACCGGTCTACTACAATTAGCCACCGGACATCGTTGCACTCAGCCGCCCCCCCTTCACTTAGTTAGACGCCGCCCTTCACTACCGTCAGCCGTCGCCCTTTACTCCAGTTAGGTACTTAGCCGGCGCCTTTCACTCCAGGAATCCGGCGATGCCCGGCCACGAAGTCCGACTCAAGAGATGGCGACCGCAACCCTGGGAGATGGTCATAGCAGTCCTCGGAGTTGGCGGCCGGAGTCCTTGGCGGTGCGGGCAAAAATTGAAATTCCCCGTTGACCAAACTGGTGTGCGCGATCGGAGAAGCAAGGAAAGAGAGAAAAGAAGAAAGAAATAAAAGGAAAAAGGAAAAGAAATCCATGTGGGCTGCCACGTGGACTTTTAACCGGGAACCTGAAGCTTACCTGATAAAATGATAAATTGATCGATGTTTAAGAGTTTGGGAGCTCAATTGTGTGTTTTTAGAGTGCGAGGGTCTATTCGCCATTTTCACTATAGTACAGGCGCATATTTGATAATTATATGTAAATAAATAAATTTGATTTGAATATATAAATTGCCCTGCCCTTACAACCATACCATTCGTTGAAATCGGCCAGAAAAGAAATCGGTGAAGTTCATCCACCATATCATACTATCATTACTTTCGAATAAGGCTACCAATGAACACGACGCCCTCATTTCATCTCTGCATAGGGAGTCAACGATCGGGCTAGGAATCAACAAATCGATGACTTGACTCGACGAATCAACTACATGGATTCACTTCTAGAAACTGCGGGGAGTCACTAGAGAGAAGTCAGAGCAAAAGTAAGAGAGAGAATATATATTGCTGAGAATGTGTTGAGCGTATTGAACATGGATTACAAATGGGGAAATGAGTGCTATTTATAGTAGTAATAAATGCCAGATAGGGACACGTGTCATCATTCTGGTGGTCGAGGGGTCACCTCAACGGGGTGACACTGGCACTCGCATGTGGCCGCATTAATTGCGGTGGTTGGATGTGACGTTTGTACTCGGTACGTTGATCCGGCGCATGTGGGTGGGAGATTCTGTCGAGGAGATGCCTTCGGCCGTAGATGATTGGCCAAAGGCTCTTCATACCGGGGGCCTCTAGGTGCCGAGGGCTCTAGGTGCCGAGGGCTACTGTTTTTGCCGCTTTCTCCCAGACACTTTGAGGGCTTTAAAGAAGCTGTACTGTAAGTTTATGAGCCTTCGGCCAGGGGGCCGAAGGCACCCCAGTGTTTGTCGTGGGCTGCTTGGCACTTGGGGCGCTGTGATTTGGGCTTGCTGTGCTTCCTGGGTCTATTGGGCCTCTGCTACAGTAGTGGGAGTCTATGGGCCGGGGGTTCCTGGGCCATATACTCCATCAGGAGTCCCTCACTCCTTTTGCCGAAAGGTACTTGAGGGAAAAAGAGTAATTCCGGTTGTCCTATGATGTTGCCTTGCTTGTAGCTTGTAAACCTGTGAGAGATCTGCGTTTGCATATGATTCTGTCGGGGGCAGCCCTTCAGTCCCCCATACCTTGGGACAGAAGGGTTATGTTGCTATTTTGGGGAGATTTTTGACATTTTGCATTTTTGTGAATTTTCCCGAAAGGGTCCTCCAGTCCCCCACTCCTTGAGGCACATGTAATGTGGTGAAGAGGAGTAGAGTAGTGCCCGCTGTCGCATGGGGCCGAAGGTTGACACTTTTCATTTCATTTTGGGGGGATGCCTCGTTAAAACCCTCATTAGGAAAAACCCTGTGGGAAATACTCCTACTGAGGGAAAAAGAGTGCACCGAATTCCCCCAATGATGACTCGAAAAGGTGAAACCTTGGTCTGAGATGAAGGACAAAGTTGATGCCGAAGGCTGCCCTTGATCCCGGGAGATGCCGGAGGGGAGTCCCTCAATCCATGGGGTGGAGGGCGTGATGAATGTAAGTGGTACTTGCTGTGTTGCCGAGGGGGTTCTCTGGCTAATGAGAAGCTGGGGATGAGGGCACCCTAGGGTCCCGTTGTTGTATGTTGAAGGCTGTCCACCTAAGAGGGGTGTTAAATTCGATGTTCCCGAGGGGTCTCCTTGTTGCGTGTCCGGGGGGGACAGTTGATGAAGGCCCCCGAGGCGTTTACCCGTTGTTAAGCCGTGGGCTCTTGATTGAGAAAGCCCGAAGGCACTTGTAATGTTGTATGAGGGGTACCGGCTGGGAGCGCCTTTTTGATTTCAAAATATAGCCGTTGTAATCAGACCGTTGGCACATGGAACGTTTAAAAAGTAGCCGTTGGAGAGGACTTCCACGTGGCGCGTGGCTGTTGGCTAGCTTTGGGCGGGCATCACTGGTTGGCAGAAGGGGCGGCGTGTAATGATGTCTTTCGTAACCGGAGGCCCGGTTTTGGGCCCAAGCCCGGATCTAGGTGCCTATATATACCCCAAGGCCAGGCCATTTTCCTTTTGCGATTCATTGTTAGCGAAGCTCTGCCGAAATATTTCTAGAGAGAGAAACTTGCCCTCGGTCAAACTACCAGCTTTCAAGGTCAGTCTTCGATCCACTCTCTCTTGCCTTCAACATACTTTGCTATTTTCTTGGTGAGTTCAGCTTTCGTAGCCTTAGGCTAAGTGATATAGTTCCTTAGGTAGCCCTCTGTTGTAGAAACCTTCGATCCCTAGTCTTTGAAAAAAGATGTCGTCTCAAAGTGACTCGCAAGATATTTCGAGGGAGCCTTCGCTTGAAACTGAAAGCGTTTCCGAGGTGGAGTCTTCAAACGAACAGCCCTCGGCCGGTGGTGATTCTGCCCTCGCCATGGAGGTGCAAAAAGATCTGGTTGCCGAAGCCGAAGCCGAGGACTTCGAGCAAGTTAACGCTGACGAGGAGATGGCTCTCGCTATGCAAACTGCCATCGAGGAGGAGGAGAGGGAGCGCCACCGGGTAACCATCGCCATTCCTTCAGCCATAGCCATCGGGGAAGGGACATCTTGAGCCCTGAGCCCAAAACCACTCAGAGCGGCGCCCTCGGCGAAGGGAAAGAAGAAGATAAAGGCTCCCAAGAAAAAAGGAGTGTGGCAGACGTGGGGAAGCATGTCGATATGCCCGAGGGGTACTCTTACCTAAACACCGCCGCCCTGGAGTTGAAGTCGAAGGCGGATTGGGCTGAGTGCTATGTAACCCAACTGAGTGTAGGGCCTTCTGCTGTCGTGGTGCAACCTGGTCCCGACGATGTTCTCTCCCGGGCGCCCGATGGGTGCATTGCGGTGCATATCCTCTCCGTTGCAATGGGCATTCGGTTCCCTCTTCATCCCTTCCTTCGCGAGTACCTCCGGTTTGTGGGTTTAGTTCCTTGCCAACTTACCCCAAACAGCCACTCATATATCACCGGGTTCCTTCACCTCTGTCAGTCTCAGGGGGTGACACCGAGATTGGACTTGTTTTTCCAAAGCTTTAACCTTTGCCGAGGAGGCCACGCAAATGCCGAGGGATTTGCTAATTTGCAACAGATTGCCCAGTGGAGGATATTTACCGAAGCACCTTCTTCGAACAAGGGCTGGAGGGAGCGTTGGTGCTATGTCAGGTTACCCGAGAGCCCGTTCTCGAGGGAGTTGCGGGATCGTTTCAGTCGGCATGAGAGGGTGTGAAGTGCCGCCCTCGAATAAGACGGCTTGAAGATTGCCAAGATCCCGGAGGGGCGAAAGAAAAATGTGACGATCAAGGAGTGCACCCTTGAGGATGGTTTGTACGCCCTCGGCTTCCGGCGATATCGTTTCTTGGGGGAAGGATGAGAAATATCCCCTTATCGACAAAGCCTTCGAGGGAACAGGAGGTAGCTGCCGAGGGCCTTAATTTCTGTACTTAGGAATATTTTTCTTTTTTGCACTTAGATATTTTTGACACCTTTGATCCTTCGGCCTAAACCGTCCTCATTCTTTTGCAAGTATCAACATGGACCTCAACGCCTTCGCCGCTCTGAAAGAGCAGAAAACAAAAGGCCCGGGCAAGAAAGAGCCCAATAAGAAGAAGCCCCTCGGGGAATTCTTGAAGAGGGGTGGTGAGCCCTCGGATGAAGCTGCCAAAAGGAAGGCAACATGCAAAGGTCCAATCCCCGAGGGGAAGAGACCAAAGAAGGGGGATGCCGAGAAGAAGGCTCCCCCGGTGGTGATCGTGGATGAGCACTCCACCTCTGAGCCCCATGTTCTGGTGGCGACGACTGCTTCCAACCTTCCCTCGGCCCAGGGGGGTGAAGTAAGTTTGCCCCGGGAGGACATACGGTTCTCCCTGCCGAAGGGTGCCGCCATCACACATGGCACGGTGGACCCTCGGGAGTTCCTGGGCGGGGTTACTCCTTTGCTGGATAGGAAGGCCCTCGGCAAGCTCGATGATGAGGCTCTTGAGTCAAAGATCCTCCGGCCCTCCCTCACTGTAAGTTTTTTCTTTCCTGCATAGTAGTCTACCTCCTCTATCTGTTGCATGATAGTAGTCTTACTCCCCTATCTTATTGTTAACAGGCTTGCATAGCCCTCGATGAGCACGCCAGGAGGTTCGATGAGTGGCGCCTCCAGAAGGTGCAACAGGATGAGGCTATGAAGAAGCTCATCCGCGACAACGCCGAGTCCGTGAGGCAAATGGCTCAGCTAGAAGGGGACCTTCAGCAGGCGAAGGCTGCGGCGGAGAAGGCAGCTAACGAGAAAGTTGAAGCTGAGAGGGCCGCTGCTGAGGCCGCGAAAAAAGCCTCCGAGGATGCAGAGGTTGCCAAAGCGGAGGCTGCCGCCAGTGTTGTTGCTGCTTTCATGGCCGAGGGGGTGGAGGGCCGAAGACCACAAAGACTGGGTGGCTTCGGTGGTGGAGGAGTCCGCCGATGGGTGGGTGAAAGGCCCCGAGGCGATGTGGTTAGCCTGAAAGGGCGAAGACTACTATGCTGGGGGGAGTTCTTTACCCAGGCCCTTATCTACAGAAGTCTGGCCCGGCACCTAAAGATTGAGCCGAAGGCTTTCGATCCGACGACATATGGCCTTCCCCCCTCCAACCAGATATCAGAGTCCCCCTCCCTGCAGATGTTGAAAGGCCAGAATTAGAGGATTCTGAGCTGCTGAAGGAGGCCGAGGAGGAAGAGGAAGGGGCCGAAGGGGATGCCACGTCGAAAGCTGCCGAAGGGGGTTAGGGTGCAGCAGTTGATGATGTTGTTGTTGCATAATTCTGAAATTTTGTTGTTGTAACGAACATGTACAATCTTTCGGCTTGGCCTTTGTGTATAACAAGTTTTTATTCCCTGTTGATGAATGAATGCCTGCCTTCGGGCCTTTTATATATATAATTTGCCTTTCTCTTTGAATGTATGCCTTCATCTTTTCTTTGTGAAATGAATGCCTTCGTACTTTGATGTTTGAGTTGTCAGTTGTTTAGGACTTAGAACAATTTTCTTAGTGTTGTATTTCCACCAAGCCTTCGGTTGTGTGGCCCCTCTGGCTGCATGGAGATTTGACCAAGGGTCAAATATTTAGGACTTAGAACATTTTTCTAAGTGTAGTTCCTCCACCAAGCCTTCGGCTGTGTGGCCCCTCTGGCTGCATGGAGATTCGACCGAGGGCCGAGTATTTAGGACTTAGAATTTTTTTCTGAGTGTAGTTTTTCCACCAAGCCTTCGGTTTATGTGACCCTCTGGCTGCGTGGAGATGTGACCGAGGGTCAAATATTTAGGACTTAGAAAATTTTTCTAAGTGTAGTTTCACTACTCAGCCTTCGGTTCATGTGACCCTCTGGCTGCATGGAGATGTGACCGAGGGTCAAATATTTAGGACTTAGAAATTTTTTCTAAGTGTTGCTTGTCACTTGGCCTTCGGCCTACGCCTTCCCTTAGTTGCATTGAACGGCTTGGCCTTCGTTGCATGATGGGTTGGCTGAGGGCCAACCATTTAGGACTTAGAATATTTTCCATAATTCATGATTTGCCCCTCGGTGAAGGGTGGTGGTCCCGGAGGCACCCAACTTCGTAGACTTAGAACAATTTCCTTTGGCTTGTAAGACCGGCCTTCGGTAATGTGTCAGGAGCCTTCGGATTTTGGTAGATCCCAAAGTGTGGACTTTAGGACTTTTGCGGCCTAACCCTGGCATGAGACGCCTTCGGGCAATGCTTGGGAGCATTCCCTTCGGTGCTTAATGACATGCCGGGGGTAATTGCTGTTTGGGGTAATTGCTGCTTGAAATGTTGTTGCCTGGAGTTAGCAAATTTTCACCTATCCATAAGATCAAGCCTTCGGTATTCGATGATGCCGGGGACAGCCGACTGTGGACTTGGCCTGATTTTGATAACTTTAGCCTTCTGGAATTATTCACTTTTTCGTACTGGAGGTGTTCCCGTGGGGAGCCCTCAGTATGATCTGTATTGTCTTGTGATGCCGAAGGGCTTCCTATTGTGATTTGTTGAAGTTGTGTACTCGTTGATTTCTCGCTGAGTCTACTCCCCTTCACCCCATTTTTTTTGGTAATGAAGGGAAGGCTTCAAGAAACTTGGTTTCTTGGTAAGACTTGGCCTATCGGGAGGCAACAGCATACACCATTAGCTCCCCCCTCGGGTTAACCTTTCGAGTTCCGAGGGGATCGAGGGTCGTTTCCTGGGCATGAGACATAGTCTGTCGCCTGCCTCCCCTTGGGGGGATGGCACGGAAAGCGCCTCAGTTTTGAAAGTCGTTCCCTGGGCACGAGGCATTGTCCGTGGCCTGCCATACCCTTGGGATAATGGCGCGGGAAGCGTTTTGTTTTTGAAAGTCAAATCCTGGGCATATTAGTTGTCTGCCATACCCTTGGGGTAGTGGCGCGGAAAGTGTTTCAAGGAAGGGTTTTCATTTGCACACTAGTTGCAAATGGCCGGGGGCACTACGTGCCGCTGGCACCGATAGGTGGCGCCTTCGGTATGAATGCGTCCTCGAGGGGTACGGCTTCAGAAACAATACTTGATGTTTGATTCATGGCTGAAAGAACTGTCTTGACATTGACCACTTCATCGGAGATGGCAGCAACTTTTGCATTTGAAGAGGTCATGAAGTTCTGTAGAGAAGTTGCAAGAGTGTCTGATAGGTGCTTGAAGCCAAATTCAAGAGTTGCATTGACCTGAGTCAGATGCTCATAATGTTTATCATTGATGAGCATAAGCTTGTTCATTCCTTCCAGCATCTGTCCACCAAAGTCTTCTGCTGCAGCCACAAAATCGTTGAAGGGAATCTGATTCTCTTGTCCAGCAGAATTAGGCATCTCTAAGCTTCTTCCCTTAGGCATAAGGTGATGTTCTTGGACAGAGGAGAGAGATTGTACATGCATTTCTAGCTCTAGTTGAGTCAGAGGGGGGTCTTCTGTCTTTTGGAGGTAGCTTGGTTGGACTTGCTGATAATGAATCCCTCCATGTCAGAGGAGTCCTCATAGGAGGAGTAAATGAGGATTCTGTTTCTGATCACCTTCTTCTTTCTGCGAAAGGAAGGGTTGGGTGCTGTAGATTGCCTAGAATAGCCAGGGGGTGCAGAAACAGGAGAGACCGGTTGTAGGGTCAGAGGATCTCAGGTACCAGTTTGGTTTTTGCTGAGTTGGGGGTTGTTGTTGTGGAGGAGAAACAGTTTTGGCAATCTGGTGCTCAGACTTTTGCGGTGAAGGGGATTTGTGTTGAGATGAAGAGGCAATCTGTTGAGGTTGGGTTGGAAGAATCTGGCGTTGAGGTGATGGGGGAGGAGTAGGAGATTTGTTCTTTGTTGGGGTAAACTGTTTGCAGGGTGAAGAAGGTTTGGATTTGGAGGTTGAGGATTTTTGGGGAGTGAGGGTTTTCTGTGCAGATGGGGTTTTCTGTTGGGGTAAGGGGGTGCTCTATTGTGGTGTTGGGAGTTTTTGCACAGAAGGGGATTTGGGAGAAATATGAATACGAGGTTCTGAAGGAATAGGTACAGAAGGAGAGGAAGGCATTACCTCAAAGATGTGGTCTTCCACCAGAGATGATCGCCATTCACAGATGAGGTCCATCATGGCAGTGCCTTCATCCTTAGGTGTAGAAGACTCCCCAGTGACAAAGTTAGGGTCCACAGATTCCCTTGCCTTCTTTGCAAATAACCAGGTCTCAAACGCATCAATCTCATTGTCTGCAAGAGGTTTCACTGGCTCTTCTGGGGGAGTAGAAATGAGGACAGCCTTGCCCTTATAGCTGGTCTTCCTTTTCTCAAGAACAGAAATGAGAAAGTTCATGGCAAAACAATTAGATACATCATCAGTGCCTACCCAATTGAGTACCTCAGCTTCCTCAGACTCATAATGGTCGAAATACTGAATGATCTTCTGTAGAGGTCCCCTCCTCCATCTTCTCCTGGCTAACACTCTTTCGAATTGCTTGTCCAGGGAAGCTCGGTAGTCCATCTCAGGTTCTCTGTCCAGAGAGGCGTTCTGTTGTTGTTCAGGCACAGAGGTCTGGGGTTCCCCCTGAGTTATGGCATCCTTCACCACTGACTCATCCTCAGAGTCACTAGACTCAAAGGTAATCTTCTTCCCTTTTCAGAGAGGGTTCTTGGCCAGAATGGGTGAGACAGGTTCTTCTTGTTCCCCCTGAGTTTCTGGGGCAGTCCTAGGGATAGGGGTTCTGACCTTCTGTTTCTTAGAGACCGGGGGTGCAGAAGGGGTAGATGATCTGGACTTTGGAGAGGATTTCTTCCTCTTGGGGTTAGGTTTCCTGGTCAATACCTTCTTGACCTTCTCCGGTGCAGCTTTCTTAACAACTGCTTCCTTCACACTTTTCCTCACCAAGGGTTCTTCCTCAGAATTGGTGGAGGTGTTCTGTTGGGAGGGTCTTTGTTGGAGCTTTTGCCTGTTAAGATCCAACTTGGCTAACCTTTTGATTTCAGCTCTTATAGCAGCTTCTCTGTTGCTTGTGGTAGACATGAAAATGACCTTAGAGTGATCCACCATGACTGGCTTCCGGAGCCCAACTCCTTTGATCAACAGCTCAGAGATGAGGAGGGCATGGCCTACTTTCCCAGAGTAGATGCAAGTGTCTTTGTTCTTTCTCTTGGCCACCTTGACGAACTCAATCATTGATTTGACAATGACCTGTCCCCAGTTGATGTTTACCTTGTGCAGCACAACATAGATGGATTTGGCTTGAGAGATGGTGAATTCGTCAGTGGATGTGTATCTGCACCACACCTGTGGAGGATGTTTACCATCAGCTCAATGTCCCTCTTCAAGGAGTGCTTCTTTCCAGTTAGCTTGGGAATAGTGGCTCCTGGTCTGCCATAGTTCATGGCAAATTCCTCATCAGTGAGGTCAGCGTCTTCTAGGTCAAAGAGACCGTTTGATTTATTGTCTACCAGAATCTTGAAAAGACTGTTGATGATCCCAGCATCAACGGTGACTTTCTCACCATTCACAGTGGAGGTGATGATCTCGCCTTCGTAGTCAACGTTGAGATAAAACTCAACCACATCAACAGTACTGTACTGAGTATAGTTGTAGGTGATTACCTTGCTCAGTTGGGAGTCGTTAATACACTCTAGAATCCTTTCCATGAGTTCCTCATCTTCCGCCAGTTTTGGAAGTGCATAGAGGTCGCACATCATCCCGGTGAACACATTTTTTGTCAGAGTTTCCTGTTGAGCCTTTGGAAGCGAGTCGAAGCTGATAACCGCCATTAGAGCAGAGAGAAAGTTTCTGAAAGCTTGAGAGCTATGGAGGTTTGACAGTTTGAGAATATTGAGAGCAGTAACGGTTTAGGTTTGAGAGACGGGAATATATGGGTTCGGGTTAGTGGACGTTTGAGATTATTGGCGGTTCCGAGGTACCAATAAATGAAAATGGGGACGCAATAAATATTTTGCGGCTGTAATACCGTTTTAAGGGTAAAAAGGTAAAAGACCTTCATTAAGTTACTAGGTCACCCGATTTTCTTAAAATATTTCTAAGTCCACAACCTTCTGTTAGAGGAGAGTTTCTGAAGGTAAGAGGAGGGTTTCTGTTGCTGAGGTGTTTTGTTAGGAACGGAGGTTCTCTGTTCAAGGTAGAGAACAGAAGGG